CATCAGTGCCCTCACGTATGGGAAGGGGATGCAAAGGTTTTAGGGCTTTTTTGTTTCCGGGCCTCCACCGTCCCAGATTTTTAAAAGACTTCCTCATTTGGCACAAGTATGAGCATACTTAAGTTTGGAGTTTGCACAATGTGTGGAAGTGTTTTATCTGAAACATCAAAAAATGCTGGGTACGCGCCTGATTGCTTGGTGCAACACTAACGCAACGAAAATAAAAAGTTGCTTAGCAAACAAAAGCAGGCTATAAGGATAGTTTCAAACCTTGATCGTTTCTCACACGCTATAATGAACGTAATACAAACAAATTAAAAATATTCAGAAAACCCGTTATAAATATAAAAATCAGTTATATAAATACTATATAAGTTAATAAACATATAAATTGTCGTATATATTGATACATGTTCTTGGTAAATATATAAATTATAAAATAATAATAGTTCTTTGATAAGTGGAGGTAAAATGGGAAAACTATTAAAAATTATTAAAAGTAAATTAATAGATCGTCAATTGCAAAAATTAATTCTTTTAACTTTCGTTTAAAAGAGTTGTAGTTACATTGTTGGATAAAATCTTGAGAAAAGTTTTTTAAGACAATTTTGTTCCATAAGAATGGTCCGCGAGAAGTAATGCAGAATTTGCTCAAGTTAGTTTGAAAAAATGGCTGCTTAATAAAATTGTTATTGCGTAAAAAGTATTTACTTTTATCTTTTGACATATACAAACCATGGAAAGAAACTGGTGAAGAATTAGTTTTACATTTGAACACAAAACAAAGAGTATTATAAACATTGAGTTGATATACATTTAAGGCGTTCATATTTTTTAATAGAGGCTTTGCATGAGTAAGACGTTCACTAAAATGTATCAAACGTGCTGCATGCTTCTGATGACGAAAAAGAGGTTCAAGTTTGCTTTTATTGATGCAAGCCCATGCAATGTTTGCATAATTTATATGGCTATGAATAAAAGAGAAATATAATTGAGTTAAAATTTTTTTATTTAAAAAGTTTCTTGCTTTATATAAAATTCCTAAACTTTTCGAAGTTTTGTTATATAAATTTTTAATATGATTTTTCCATGAAAGATTATCATCAATATAAACACCTAAGAATTTTGTAACGTTTACTCTAATTATTTCGATGTTATGAACAAAAAGGGATGGCATTTCATAGGGCAGTAGCTTTTTCTTAGAGGGCGGGTGTAAGAGAGTCCAGTTTGTTTTTTGAATATTAAGCGATAATTTATTTAATTTAAACCAGTAAGAAATCTTGTTTAATTCTACATTCATAAGTTGAAACAGAGTAGTGATGTTAGTATGAGATAAGAATAAGTTTGCATCGTCTGCAAACATGATTGTTTTTAATCTGGATACTTTATAGAGATTGTTGATATATATAAGAAAAAGAAGAGGTCCGAGAATAGATCCTTGAGGAACACCACAAGTAATTTCTAACAAACTTATTGGAGAAGAAGCGTCAATGGTTACAAATTGTTTGCGATTACTTAAATAACTTTTTATCCACTTTAAAACATTTCCAGTTATTCCTTAATTTTTGAGTTTTTTAAAAAGAATTTTATGATCTATTGTATCAAAGGCTTTTGATAGGTCGATGAAGATGCCTAAAGTATATTCGGATTTCTCGAAAGATTCTGTGATACTACGTGTTAGCTGGAGTATCGCGTGTTCTGTAGAGTTTTTTTTTTTGAATCCATACTGGTGGTTAAATAATAAATTGTTGTTAGTTAAATGAGTGTAAATTTTGTTATAAATAATTCTTTCTAAGACTTTAGAAAAGACTGGAAGAACAGAGATAGGGCGATAGTTATTGATATTTGTTAAGTCTCCTCCTTTGAATATCGGTGTGATTTTTGCAATTTTAAATTGATCAGGAAAAATTCCTTGTCTGATTGAAAGTGAAAAAATTTTAAAAAGCACGTCTTTTATAACCTTGTATGAATTTTTTATTACATTGCCATTTATATCATCGAAGCCACTTACTTTATTTGGTTTTAGCGCACTAAAAGCTGTTTCAAATTCTTCAAACGATAATTCCAAAAAATCATGATTAGCTAATGCAATAGATGAGATATCAATTGTTTTCTTTATATTCGGTATACTTCTTGCTAAATTAGGTCCGATCGTGACAAAAAATTTGTTTAGTTCGATTGCTATTTCACGCGGATCATAAGAGATATCACCATTAATTTTAATGCCATTTTTCAGAGCGCATGATTTAATTTTTGTTTTACCGGTAATTTCTCTTAAAATTTGCCATGTGCGTTTTGAATCACATTCGTATCGCATAAGTAAATCGGAATAGTATTTTTTTTTAAGATTCTTTCTAATTTTTTCAAATTCTCTCGCATATTTTTTGTAGTTGTTTACCTCATAGAAAGATTTAAAAAATTGGTTGTAAGCAAAGTTTACGTCAGATGAAGTGTTTATATCTTTCCAATGAAGCAATGACAGTTGTTCATGAAACGATAATAAATTAGCTTCGTTTTATTCAGAACAAAACTTAAGCAATTACTTTCGTTAAATAAAAGTTGAATTAAATTTCTTCTAGTAACGCTTCTTTAAGTTGAAAATCAATAATTATAGTTAATTAATTAATTACTGCAGATTATTAATGCATAAGTTTATTTGCTTTAACTGAATTAGCAATAAAAAGTATTATAAATTTAATTAAATAAGTTAAACTATAAATTGCTTTAACAATAAAATGTGTTTAATATAAAATCATATCTTCATATTTTTTCAAACCAATTCTTAAATCTTATTTTTGTAATTTTAATATTTTATTAAATTTTGTTTCTTTTATTTTACAAAACAACTCTTAAATCTTATACTTTGAAAAACTATAAATTTTAAATGCTAAGCGATATATTTACATTTTCTTTTATATTATTAATTTAGAGATATATACATTGAAACTATATTTTATTATTAAACTATATTTTATCTAGTAAAGACGCATTTTTTGGGGGCTTGGTGGTAAAGCTAAGTTTGTCTTCTTTATGCACCGGTATTGTAATTGTTTTTTATAAGTTACGATTGTAAACTTTTTTTATTGGCAAAAGTGTAATTAAATAAATAAATTATAAGTTCAATTTCAAAACATTATAAGTTCAATTTCTAAACATATATAAAAAAATATATATATTTATATAATTATTTTCATCAGAACGAAAATAATTTTTTTTCTTTTTAATTTCTAATAGTCCGGAAAAGTTGCCTTTTAACATAAAAAAGATAAATGTATAATTTATCTTTTATTATTAATTAGGGTAAAATTTCAAAAAATTTGAAATTTTTTCAGCTATATTTTTAAATGACAAAATAAGCTTAGAAGTGCTGTGTTTTCATAATATTGAATTTGAAACAAGAAGGAATATGATAGTTTTAATGTGGATTGGACGGAAGCCTAGCAGGTGGGGAGTTTAATGGCGATGGAAAAGGGAAACAGAGATAGATTTCATGTCAGGACAAGAATGAATTTTTTGTTTACACGAACGAGATAATAAAACATTTATCAATTACCATGTTTCGTTTTATTTCATTTAAATTCCTGTAACATGTGCTAACAAAATATAATATATTGGTAAAAAGTGGGAAAAATACAAAAATATGCCCTAAAAACTGTTTTTGGTGAGAAACGTTTGTTTTTTAAATATATTAAACATTTATTAGTACTGATTATTTCATTATTTCACAGGAGGTGCATATTTGTACAAAACATCAAAAAAGTATAGACAACCAAATTTTGAATTTTTATTCAACTTTTAAATATTTTAAACTTTCAGGCTCTTTGCGGCACCTCAAAACGTTGCAGTAGACCAATAAAATTTTAAAAACTCTTTCACGACTATAAAAGGCAACTTTTGGCCGCTATAAAAAATTCCAAATAAATAAAAAAGTTTTTTTGTCCATTTTCGTTAATAACCATATATATATATATATATATATATATATATATATATATATATATATATATATATATATACATATATATATGTATATATATATATATAAATATCATGGTTGTTTATAAAATAAGTTTCAAATTTATTTGAATTTTTTTTTGAAAACAACCAGTTGTTTTTAAACTAAATTTCTAAAATTGTCGAAATGATAACAAAAACTTTGAAGTAAATATTCTTCTGAAATTTCTGATAAAAAAGTTATAGAAGCTTGTATACCTTCAGCTTTTAGAGAACTTTATAGGTTAAAATGTTTAGATCCATGGATACTTAATAAGAATTTAGTAACTTAAGAATTACTTAGTTGTAAGTTACAACTAAGTAACTCTTTAAGTGGAAACAAGGAAATGAACATGGAACAAAGGTCCAAAGAAAGATCGAATCCAAAAAAGATCCGAAGAAAGAAAAATCCAAAGAAGAAAGTACTCATTGATATCAACATGATAACTTGTAACGTTGATATTAATAAATGCTTAAATACTATTTTTTATACTTTGTACTTTTTAACTAAAGCATATATTACCTGTAAACCATAATTTAGACATTGAAAAACTTGAAAACAATTTTTTGAAAGAAACTGAATTTTACAGAAAACAAAGGAATAAGCTGTGAAATCCTTTTAAGGACTGTTTACTGTAAATGCTCAAAAAAAGCGCTACTTCTCAAGTAAAAGCTTTTTTCTGTTTTTTAAGCATTAAAATAAATCTTATACGTTTGTGTTAAAATAAACTGCACTTTCAAACCAGGCCTCTAATTAAAATTTCAAATTTTACAATTTAAAAATTCAAAATTTTCAATAGTTATGTTATTATTATATTATTATAATAGTTAATAATATACTTGATTGTAAATTTGTACTTTAACAAAAGGTACATTTTGTAAAGGTGCAAATTTGTACCTTTACAAAAGTGATTTTATTATTTTTATTATTGTTATTAATAATTTAAACGTTGTTGCTTGTAAGAGAACTTAATGGCCGAACTTTTCATTCCTCTCAATTATCTTAGATAGACGAGGTGCCAAACTTTTTTCCAAATTTTGTCGTTAACAACTTACTCGATGTTGAAGCAGTACGAAACAGTTCTATAACTCCAGTAGTTTGTATTAGTTGCAGTGAAAAACAGCCAGCCATTTCGCGATGTTTAGACTGTATGGATTTTCTTTGCGCAGCATGTCATAATGCCCACAGCAGAGTGAAAGTCACCAAAGATCATCAAGTAAGAGATAAATATTTGCCAAGATGGCAACAATATATCTTGTTATTGTTTTATTTTTTTATTTTATTGAACAAATTTGCGCATAAAACTTTAGATCATGACATTAGAGCAGCTTAAACGATCAGAAAACATTTCATCTTTGCTTCATCGTCCTGTATTTTGCCGCGTACATACTGGAGAAAAAGTAACGTAAGTTTTTAACATTTAGTCCAATAACAAAATGTAACTTAAGTAACGGAAAAAAATATATGTAACAAAATGCATCATGAATGACCGTAATGAGGCTAACAGTAACTATAAATCCGAAATTCAATGAAATTCAAATATAGTTCAATCAAATTCAAATTCAAATGAATTTCAAACCAAGGCACAAAACCAAGACTAGACAACAGAAATAACCAATTGAGACCAAGACAAAGGCGTTTTTTTTTTTAAAAGACAAAACTGAGACCAAAATATAAGAATAAAGTTTAAGATCAGGACTAATATCTAGACGTTGTCATAGAGATCTAAACGTTGTCATAGAGATCTATATAGATTCCCTTTTTACCTTTTAAATTACAAGTAGATAATACTAATTATGTATGTAAGTAAGAAGTAGCTAATACTTGTTGCACTGTCTAGAAAATATTTACTAATCTTAATAAATAAAAATACGTTGCTGTGTTCTTTTTTTTTCTTTTCTTTTTTTATTATTGTTATAAGGTAAATTAAACTTAAAAATTAGAAGTTGAGTCAAAAACTCACTTACCAATAACAAAAAAAAAACGCGCTGCAGTAGTGCCTAAAAATATGTTTATATACTTATTAAAACCTGTTTACACAGAATATAGAAAAAACAAAATAATGCTGCTACCGATGTTCGCTCTGTTTGAAAAACAAATAAATAATTTATGCTGAATGATAATAAAATAGAGGAAAATACAAATATATAAAGTTAAATAAAATTTTAACCAAGATGATATTTTAGTTGCTTAAATGTTTAAACTTGACAAAGTTGACTACTTTTCTAATATTGATAGGCAGAATATTAAACAACTTTGCATCTTTAGAGCAGAAACTCTTTATTGCAATCTTAATTTGACTTCTTGTAGTTTTATCAGATAATTGTTTCTGGTTTCTTTTAGATGGTTTCTAATTTCAATATAATTCATAAAACTATAACTAACATCTGTGCATTTTTGTACTAATATACGAGACTTCTTATTGAAAATGTTTATCGATCGTAAGTTCATCGTTGAGCTTTGCGCCTCTCTCTTATAATCAAAGAATTAGATATATAAGTTTTAGACAATTAGATTTACTTATATAGCTTTTAGTTTTATTTCGAGTATGAGTGAGTAAAAGGAGAAAGTTTTACAAATTTTTAAAGTCTTGAGAAATTCGAGTTTTTTTTAAACTTAAGGTTTCCATGGATATTGAGATAATTGTCAATGATATTTTCTAGTTTTTTGGCTTTTTTTTAGAAAATCAATGATCGGATCATTGTATTAAAGCTTTAATTCATTTTCTGCATCTGGTCGTTTTACTGTTCCTAATGAGCTTTCGTTCTTCCATTTTTATCTCATTAACAATACCATCTCGTTATCAATACCATCTCATTAGCAATAAAGTCTTATGAAAGGTCTCGTGTCATAAGTTTTTAAAAACAGGAAAGTTTTAACTTTATTATTAAGGGTTGATAATCTTTCTTAAAATTTGTCAAAACAAATATCAAAAAATAACTTAAAAAGTATCAAAGCCTGGAAACCATGAATTCAAAATTTAAAAATCTCAAGTCTCGAGAATTCAAGAGATTAAAAAGTTTGTCTGAAGATATATTGATACGATACATCAAGACAAAAACACTTTCAAAATTTCCGATTGGTACAGAACTACTTTCCATTTCTGTAAATTATGATCAATAAAATATGAACTTAATAAATTTTATTTTGCATAGGTATCCATATTAAAATACTTTTAACATTTCTAACTAAGTATACTAATTTTTTTATCGCTTGTTAAGTATTTCATTTGTATTAATCTTAAAAATATATTGATCTTTTAATTAAATCATTTATATTTGTATTTGAGTAAAGTTGGCCAGTATGATCATCTATGAGCACACCATAAAATTTTTAATGTGTGTTCCATAACGTTTTAAACGTGTGCTGTAAAGTTCAAGGTACTTTGTATTTTTTGAACTGAATTTAGATGGTGATAACAGAAAGCAGTATATTTATCATAAATTTATGCACAATAATTAGCGACTCTCATCTATTTAAAACGATATTAAATTATTTGTTTTGTAAAATATTATCATTTTATAAAAGAATCTATGGAACTTTGATGTTGAAATATAGATTTTTAATTTTTCATAAAGAAAATTATGTTAGCTAAACACCCGAGTCATTTTTATTTCGAAAACAATCGATAGGAACATTAATTTTCGATTTCATTTAAAAATATCATTTTTTTTTTTTTTTTTTGTAATATGAGTATGCTCAAATTACCCAGTGTTTTTAATGAAATCGGTGAAGTCCTAAAAACACAGTGGTTTTAATTGCTTTTGGAATAAAAGCAAAACATAACAAAGATTTTCAATATTATAACAATATTAAATATCTTTCTGTAATTTAATTTCAAAAAAGTTTCTTTTTCTTTGTTTTGTTTAAAATTATTTTGTTTTAAATTTGTTTTGTGTAAAACAAATTAGTATTCTTTCAATAAAAACTGGCTTAAAATTTGAATCATTGTATTGCACTAATTAGTCCTAATTTAGGGTTGTTCGCCGAAAAACAAAACTTGCGAAAATTTCGCATCTTTATCGACCGTAATAGAATTGTTATTGCGGAAGTTGCACATGCGAAAATGCACATTCCGTAACGCACTATACGAAAATATAAATAAATAAAATTCCGTAATAAAGCATTGCGAAAGAAAACTTGCGAAACAAATCATTTCGTAAGAATACTTATTGTATTGTTAGAATAGTATTGAAACAACACTCTCAAAAAATATCGCAATGATTTATAAGGCTAAACCTTTTCTAAATGTAGCATCCCTGAAAAAATTGTATTTTGCCTTTATTCACAGCTATTTGTCTTACTGTAATATTGTGTGGGCTAGTACTGGCTATACAAAACTTAAGAAAATCTACAACAAACAAAACATGCATGCAGAATAGTGTTTGGAGCCTGCAGAAATACTCCTTGCGAACCACTTTTACGTGCATTCGGTGCTTTAAATGTGTATAAACTCAATTTACACCAAGTTTTATTGTTTATGTTTAAAACAAAAATGGGATTGTCCCCAATAATTTTTCAAACCTATTTTAATAAAATTAATCATAAATATTCAACAAAGTTTTCTGATAACAACTTTGTTCTTCTCAAGTATAATTTAAAATTAACCTTCTATTCAATTAAATATCGCGGACCTTATCTGTGGAAAAAATTCCCAGAGATTGTCAACAAAAACAAGACTACATTAGAACAATTTAAAAATGAATCAAAACAATTATTACTATTCATGGATCTTAATTTATCTGACTTCAAATGTTTCTTTTAAAATTTAATCAAATAAAAACTAATTTATTTATATCAATCAAATTTAAGTAATGATGTTAAAATTCATCTTGTGATAATGTTAGTTATGAAATGTTATTCTTATTAAAAACTTTTTGTTTAAATGATTTTAAAACATTTTAGCGGTTGAGCCCCAAAGTCCTACTTATCCAGGGACCGAGATAACGGAATTCTAATGAATATGCTCGTTTTTTTTTTATAAGCATAACGCTTATAGGCTCAGGTTTATAAAAAAAAAAAAAGCATATGTAAGCATATTCCTGAGCCTTGATAGACCATTTAAAAAATTTTATTTTTATTTAACTAAAAATTTTAAATATATATATTTCTAAATTTAAACCAACAAAAACCGAAGTTTATAACAACATAAATTCAACATAAAATATACCTATTTCAATAATTATAATAAAATATAAGAATAATAAAAAGTTGACTTATGCTCTGTATTTTTGTTTTGGTTTTAATGCAGCTGCATTAAAACCAAAACAAAAATACAGAGCATAAGTCAACTTTTTATTATTCTTATATTTTATTATAATTATTGAAATAAGTATATTTTATCAGAAATATGCTTAAGCATATTTTTGAGCCTCTTTTTACTATTTGCTTAAGCATATTCGAACCTGTTTCAAAAACTTCATATGCTTTAAAAAAAAACATGTATATTCCTACCCATCATTCTTATTTTTACTATACGTAATGAGTTCAAAAAACATCGTTATATATATTTATTATGGCACGTTTTGTAAGTTCATTTCTGTTAAGAACTCTTTCGTATGTTGTGATGCAAAATACTTTCGTTTCGAAAGAAATTTTGTTTTTAATCAATATTTCTAAAAATAAAACCATAAAAATTTAATATGTTATTATACTGAAAATAAAAATTCATTATAAACATTTTGAGATTTAAAGGTGTTAATTTTTACATTAAAATCAGTCTGACAAACAAATTTTCTTTATAGACTTCAAAACGTCGTTTGGCGAAAATGTTTGTTTCGCAAGTGCGACTTCCGAAACCGCTACTTTCGTATGCTGCAAAATAGTTTTGTTGCGTATGTCAACTTGCGAAATGCTAAATTTCGGAAGTCGCTTTTGCGAAATGTGAACATCGGCGATTTTAAATGTTTTGTAACATTCGGTACGAAAAAATGTAGTTCCTCGTTCTCAATCTCCTTACGAAAGAATGTTGTTTTTCCGGAATTGCACGAAATCCTCCGGTTAACAACCCTATTCTAATTGTTAGGTTGATGTTTCTTTATTTAACGTTATTTTTTGGGCTAAATTAAAGTGTTTAAATTATCAAATGATTTGAGATATATTTACTTTTCGCTACGTTTTTAAAATCTTTGTTTTTTTTTTTGTTTTTTTTTTTAATTTTGGGTGCCCTAAAACTTAAGTGAATCATGAGTAGTTAACCCTAAAAATTGTTTATTTGCAAAAATTTTGGTTCCAGCAAATTATTTTTTAAAATAATAAATTTTTTGTTAAGGTGCTCATTATACCCCAATCTATCCAATTCGTTTATTGCTTGCTTCAGTGCTCGAAGTGGAGAAATAAAGGTAACGGAATGGTATTCGGTAGATTAAAAATACCATCCCACCTAATCATTGTTATATAGAGATTTATAAAAAGGTGGCGGGATGGTTTATACTTTATAAAAAGGTGATGGGATGGCATCCCGCCTCACTCCGCCTCACTTCGAGCTCTGGCTTGCTCAAATTATTATTGTATTGTTGCCTCACGCCACTTGAATCGGCATTCTAAATAAAAATATAATTCCATCTACTGTAATTTTGTAATAAATAAAAAAACTGAACTAAAATATACTTTAACTAGGTTGCATTTTTTAACTTGACTTTTAACAGCGAAATAAAATAGTTTTGATGCATTAGTCAAACATAAAAAATGTAAAATATAGATGTTACGCTTTTTTTTTTTAATTTATCACAAAAACATGTTGGATGAATTTATTTCTTTTTCCAAACTGTCTTTCCAATTTCACTTTCAGATATTTTTGTATTACGTGTCAGCAGACTATTTGTCGCGAATGCATTGTATCTTCGCATCACCAACATGACTTCACGATTATCGACCAAACAATTGAATTGCAAAAAAAAGATATTATAATATTAAAAGAAACGATTGAAAAAAAGCTTCCTGTTTTAAAAGAGAAAACGCGCAACCTTAATGAAGTAAAGAGACTTTTGGAGTCAAGGTCAGAGAGTATTTTAACGGAAATAGATGCCATCATGCCAAAGATTATCAAAGCTATTAAGGAAAAAGAAATGCAAATGTTTCAAGAATTATCGGAAATCGTGAGAGAGAAAAAAAACGTTTTAGACAAAGAATTGCAACAATTAAACAATGAATTAAAACGAGTTGAAAGCACACATAGTTTTACAGGTAAATTTTATAGTTTCTGCGAGTAAAAATTATTATATTTATTTGAAATGTGGTAACAAAATAATTTTTTAATTTTTTTGTAAAGAACACGTTTTAAATAGAGGAACGAATCCTGAGATTCTCTCTTTAAAGTCAGATATATGCAAAAAACTTGACGAGTTAGCTAAATTTCAATACCCGCTTCTTTCGGATGTAAGTGAGAAAATCCAATGCGATACCAATATTGATGCTATTGTTTCAGCAATAAATAATTTTGGACGTTTTTCAATTGAAGAAAAAGAACTTTTAAAGTGTGTTGTCATGGGAGACATATCCACGGTCATCAAAGGACAAGTTGTACAACTAACGTTACTGATTAAGTATGATTTGATTAAGCATCGTTATTTTATAACAGTTTATTGTTATTGTGTTATTTTAAATATCTTTTATTTAAATTAAAATAATATGAGCATGGAATCAAGCAATATAATTATATAATTATCTTATAATTAATTATAAAAAGTTATAGTAACTTTTAATTTAGAAATCAGTTTGACATTGAAACCACTTGTAAGATAGATGATATTGAATGTGAATTACAAACTCCACTTGGCGTTATTATACCAGAGGTGAAAAACATTACTGATCTATAAAATGACAGTTAATACAAATTGAAAATAAAACAGTTTACTTTATTTTCAGCTTCGTGAAAAAGCAAAAAGCTCTTTTTTGCTTTCGTTTCGAACTTACAACGTTGGCCTTCATAAGGTAAATAAATATTTTATACAATGTTGGCCTTCATAAGGTAAATGAATATTTTATACAAAAAGTCAATTTTAACTTAAAACAAGCTTAAACGTCAAATTTACAATTTCGGTTTTCATAAGTAAAATAAATATTTTATAAAAAGTGTTATTTTAATATTAGTTCACAACTTTTTAGCTCACAATTAAGCTTTTAAAAAAGCACGTCTCAGGTAGCCCATTTTCTATTCAAAGTATCAACAAGATTGCCAACAAAAACGATCCAGCTTCGGATATATTAAACAAAGAGTCATTTCACGAACATTCCGAAACAAATAACTCTACACTAAACTTTAATAAGTCAGATATTGACGAAGAAACATATTTCCCGAGTTTACAAAATAACTATCAAAACAAAATGATAAACGGTAATCCTGCTAACCCTGCTGTTAATCCGGCTGTATTAACAGTGCCTCAAAACTCACAAACTAATAGTAAGGCACACTTTATTAAAAGCGAAAAAAGAGCGACGGAGTATAACAAAACTGAAAATTCATACGCACAAGACAACGAGGAGAATAGATACAATTATGAATCAAATAAAATTATCATCACGCAAAGTTCTTTAGATGACTTCCAAATAAAAAAGAAAAAAATTGGCGAACTTATTCATTCTACCGGTAGCCGGGGAAAGCTAAATGGAGAGTTTCATGGACTATTTGGAGTAGCCAGTGATCATGCAAGCAAAAGAGTTATAGCAACCGACTGTCATAATCACCGCGTACAAGTTTTTGATGAAGAATTAAACTTTTTGTTTACATTTGGAAAAAAAGGTTCCGGAGATGGAGAATTTTTAAACCCAACCGGTGTTGGTATTGGTCCAAATAGTGAGATTGTAGTTTGCGAAAGACTTAAAGATAAAATACAGGTACACAAAATGTTTAAAATTTAGTTTATAGTATAATGTTTTAATTTTTACAAAGTTATAATCTATTAAATGAAATAATTTTTTTATAAATATGATATAAGTATCAAAAAGTACTACAAAAACATGTTTTTTCAAACATTTTTTAAGAAATATCTTTTTTTTTTAATAGGTGTTTACTAAAGAAGGCGTATTTCAAAGACGTTTTATACTCAATGAAATGAAAGCGTCTACTCTGTGCGTCGACATTTCAGGGCGCATCATTATTGCTGACTACACTAACTGTTGTATATTTGTTTTAGATCCTATATTAGGTTGCTACATTTTTTAAACGTTTAAATTTAAAAAATAAAATCTCACTGTATATTATGTTAAATGCACAACTAATTCATTTTACATATATTGTTTTTTAAAAAGAACGATGGTCAAGGTTTGGACAATTTGGACAAAACGACGGAGAGTTGCAATACCCTTGCTACGTCACCACTGATGTAAAAGGAAATATTTATGTCTCAGATATGAACAGTAACAAAATACAGGTTAGGGAAAAAACAAAACATTTAAAAAAAAAGATAAAAATGAAAAGATTAAAGAAGCAAATATTATTAATACTTTTATTTTATTAAAATAAACTTTAAAAATATTAGAAAAAATATTGAATTTTAGAAATATGACTCAGAAGGAATATTTCTCAACAGCATTGGTTCGAAAGGGAAAAAAGAAGGCGAGTTTTTACATCCAACAGGTATTGCCGTGGATATAAAAAGTAGACTAATTGTAGCAGATAGAGACAATCATAGAATACAGGTAATCCAGAATGACTCTGAAGTTCACTCATCTTTTGAATCAAATGGTGGAAACGACGGAGACTTAAATGATATTCACGGTATCTGCGTTCTATCCGACGGAAGTGTTGCTGCCGCTGATTTAAAAAACAACAAACTGCAAATATTTTTTCTCGATTAAAAAAACTTCATAAAATAGATTTAATTAAAAAACACTTGCATACGCACGCACACATGCACACAGAAACATGACAAAACAGTCTTTTTTAAATGTTACCATTACGATAAAAAACTGCATATATATTTTAAAAAACTGCAAAATAAATGCTACAACAATATTTTTATTCAAAAGTTTCATTTAAAGTTTCATTTCGATCCGTAACTATGACATTTCGATCTATAACTATGACATTTTGACATTGATAAACTTATCAAAGAATTAAATAAAATTACATGCTTGTCTTTACAAGCCTTTTCTAACCTTTTATATTTATGTTTTTAAAAATATTTATACCAATATTTGTAATATATCAATATCAACAATTGCATTATTTTTACGTTTTAAATAGTTGAAATAAAGTCTTGATTTGTTTTATTACGTTTACTTTTTACAAGTTTTTCGAATTTAGCAGAATTTTTCAATTAGTATCTCGATCATAGAAATGTGGATCATACAGATGTGGATTATAGAGATCTGGGTAATAGAGATCCGGGTCATAGAGATGTGGCCCAATTTTTATATTTGACAGCGGTTCAAATATTTATTTGACATATATATATATATATATATACATATATATATATATATATATATATATATATATATATATATATATATATATATATATATATATATATATATATATATATATATATATATATATATATATATATATATATATATATATATATGTATATATATATATATATATATATATATATATATATATATATATATATATATATATATATATATATATATATATATATATATATATATATATATATATATATATATATATATATATATATATATATATATATATATATATATATATATATATATATATATATATATATATATATATATATATATATATATATATTTAGTATTGACATATATTTATATATTTTAAATATAAAGTTTTAAGGTTTCAACAAGAAGATTTTTTGACATTTGGCATTTGAATTTTTTTTTTTTTTTTTTGTATGTATTTAGGTGCTCCCAGAAGTCCTTACGGTCTTATCATAGAGCACCGCGGGAGAGCATTTATAAGGAAGTTCACGCCTCCTTCCGTACCAATGTCGCTTTTTGGGCTGGAGCTGGCGTCGAACCTCGGACCTCTGGGTTCTGAGCCAGTACTCTAACCACTGCGCACCGGCTGCTAATAATGTCAAAACAAACCGCAGAAATACTTTTGGGCAGTAAAAGAGCTATTAACATAACTCCTTGGTGGAGTTATGTTAATAGCTATATAAAGTTAAATTTTCATGTTTGGTAACGTTTTGTAAATCTGGAGATTTTCATGTTTGGTAACGTTTGGTAACCTAGGTAACGTTTTGTAGGTCTGAAGAATGTATTTAGTCTGAGTAAAAATGTGTGCTTTCATTACTGGAGGTTAAGAGGCATTTTTTTTCTCTTCAAATGGGTAAAAAATTACCAATAAGCTACTAGCCTTGCAAAATTTAATAAATTTTTTAAGATTATTTGGTACAGTTTGTAGATCTGCTAGTGGAAAATAATTTTGGTGAGAATGAAATATTGTGCAAACATACATCAAGTAGACAAGTTCAATTATAAAAAAAATTTATTCCTACTATTATTTGTTATTCAAAAATGAAAAATGGACTATTATAAAAATCAAATGACGCTTTTCTCAATTCCTACCAAACAAGCTCATGAGTAAAAAAGTTAAAAAGTGAAAGATTTTGAGACTAACATAAATATTTTTATGTGCTTTCATACTTTTTGCATGACAACAATAACGTTGTCACTTGAAAATACCAGACAAGAGTCTACAACAACTATGGCAAAACAGATGGCAAAAGATTCCTGTTTTTAAAACTTTGTTGTCAATTTTTTTTTATTATTATTTAGATGTTTGCTCGTAAAAAAAAGCTTATGACGTCAATATGTCTTATTTTTGCTCTTCATACATTTTTTTTGCCTTTTTTTGGAAAAGAAAAAAAACCTGTCAGACATTTTCCCAATTACGAAAATAAACCGCAGAAATACTACTAAAATTTCTATATAATCATTATTGAAACCTTTTACCAGGCTTGTTTTGAAGAAAAATTGCCACACGATCCCCAATTATGATTGCACGCCATTCTTTTTGACTGAAAAAAAGACTGAAATTATACCCTACAACCAGAACTTTAGAACAACGCCAAATATTCATGAGACTTTTCTTAACTTTTACAACATTTGTGTATTGGTAATTTTTAATTTTTTTTCTTTTTTTGGTTGAAACGCCGCCAAAAAAATTTTTTTTTTTAGTTTCATTCAAAAAAAAGTTTGAATGAAACTAAAAAAAAAAAAAAAAAAAAAAAAAAGTCCCTATCAAACTAAATTTTTGTTAGACTATGCTAAACTTATTTATTTATACTATTTAGAATGAATTTTAAACTTTCAAAGATTTTGTTCATGCTGATGATATATAAATTTAACAATATATTTGTTATAACGACTTCAAAAATAGTAGCTTAAAACACAAAAACATAAAATTAAAATAATTTTTAAAATTTTATGTGATTCTTCTAAACTCTTTAAGTATTAATTTTTTTTTTTTTTTTTGTAGTTATTTTAGCTGCTCCCAGAAGTCCTTACGGTCTTATCTTAGAGCACCGCGGGAGAGCACTTAACAAATAGTTCACGCCTCTTTCCGCACCAATGTCGCTTGTTGGGCTAATACTGGCGTCGAACCTCGAACCTCTTGGATCTGAGCCAGAACTCTAACCACTGGGCCATGGCTTCTCGTTTTTCCACTTGATTTATCATAAATTTTGTCTTAATTAATCATAAATAACCTAATATTTACCGTTATTTCAAAAGAAAAATTCTCATTAAAAAAACTCCACTTTCTTTAAATTTTTTTTGACTTCTGTAGTATGTTTATTTTATCTTTATTGTTCAGGTGTTTCATATAGGCCGGCGTTTGTGACATGAAATTTAATCACTTTCGTTAGACTCATCGAGTAACTAAGTTATAAATTGACCAACTTGCGTTTTAAGTGTCTCTAAAACAAAAAGATCCAATTTTAAAAGTGTTTCAAGCAGCCAGTATAGATCAAAAAGTTACCCATTAAGTTACCCAGTATAGACCCTAAAGTTACCCATTATCGTGTCTATCGTGTGCTTTCGATTTCTTTTAAAATATTTTGCAGAAAGTTTTATACAAACACTTTATAAGAATTTTTGACCTAGAAAACAGTTTTGTAAAATAAAAACCTAATATAAAAATTATTTAAAATAATTTATTTTAGCTAAGTTATAGAAAATGAATGTATGTTTTATTCCCTTTGATGGTTTTTTCTGACGATTAGATTTTAATTTTTGAAAAAAGATTGTTATCTTCAAAAGTGCAAAAAAAATAATTATTATTACTCTATCCTGGATATCCAGGATAGAGTAATACTACTTAATCAGTCCTACTACTTAATCAAAAGAAACAGCGAATAAATGTCTGCAAAGTATGTCTTTTAGGTGATTTTCCTTTATTTTTACATACTTTTAGATCTCTGTTTAAATAATTTTACGCCTTACATTGCTTTCTAAATATTATTTTTGTTATTTTAACGTATAAAAAGTAAACTGATATTTTTATTTGCATCTTAATTTAGTACTGGTAAATAAATATTAAAACTGATATTTTGATATTTATTTACCAGTACTAAATTAAGATGCAAATTAAAAGTAACCCACCAGTAATAAAGTGTGCCGAACAAACATAAACATTAAAGATTTTAGGAAACCATTGCTTGCTACATGCACTACTATCTACAGAACAATCTATCGTATTCAACCACTTTCTTGTACTTCATCTTTAGGAAAACTTAAGTTTTCCTAAAGATGAAGTGCAAGAAAAAATTTCTTTGGATTAAGTTTTTTTCTTAAGAAAAAAACTTAATCCAAAGAAATTTTTCATATGCCATATAATATATGATTTATTATATGGCATAAAAAAAATTTCTTTAAGAGAAAAAATTTCATTAAGAGAAAAACTTACTCCAAAGAAAAAAAATATGTAAAAATAGTTTTTTAGATTTGTCTTCAAAGTTTGTTTTTTTCCTCTATAAAATTTTAAAAAAAGCATGCTATATACAGTATTGGACAAAACAAGTGCAACCAAATAACGCTAATTTAGTTTCTTTATATAAAAGTGCTGCATTTTTTCAATTTAGAGAAATAACTATTTAACTGTTTAGAGACAACGTTCTTCAAGTTTTATTCATCACAAAGTTCATTATTTGTACACGAAAATTAAAAAATTAATCCAAGTTATTAAAAAAAGTTGATTTCCTTCTGGACAAAACAGGTGCAACTCCACAAAATGTTGACCAAACTGTATTTCGCTATCAATATTTCATGGCGAATACTTTGTTGTCAATCACAGCCTTGCATCTTCGAGGCATAGATTTGATCAGGTGATCAATGAAACTTTGTGGAATTGCTGCCCAGGCCTTTTGGATTTGTTCAAACAGTTGATCCTTATAACGAACACCTTCACGATTAATTCTGCGGTTGACAATATCCCGAAGGTTCTCGATAAGGTTAAGATCCGGAGATTGAGGCGGCCAATCCATCACCGATAGGTGCTTGTCTTGAAACCACTGCTTGACTACTTTTGCAGTGTGTTGAAAAAAAAAATGCTATGCTACATGAGGTAACATAGCATTTTTCAGGATATTTTTATACATAAAACGGTCCATTATTCCATCATTTTGATGTATTGGACTTAGACCGTTAGCAGAAAAACACTTCCAGACCATTACATCGCCTCCACCATGCTTCACGGTCTTATGGCAGTAACATAAATCGAGGTGTTTTCTGGCCGGTCGACGTACACGGCAAATGCCATTGCTCCCAATGATGTTGAACTTCGATTCATCACTGAACAGGACAGTTTTCCATTTCTGCACATTTCAGTCAATATGAGATGTACCAAACAGGAGTCTTTTCTTCTGGTTCTTTAGTGAAATCAGTAGTTACTTTGCAGGGCGTCGAGAAAACAATTCGGCTTCAACAGCATGTCGTTTGATTGTTTGGTCCGATACAGGCAGCTCTAATTGCTTTTGTATCTCGACTGATGATATCCAGGGATACTTCTTGATGGATCTGACGATCATAGAATCCTCTCTAGAAGTGGTGGAACGCGTACTTCCACCTGTGTTATCTGCTGCCAACTTCCAAGTAGAACGGTATTTGGAACATAGTCTTGATACAGTCCATTTTTTCACGCGATATTTATCACGAA